ATTTATACATCATCTGAAAGCTGAATAAATAAGCTTTCCATTGATGTATGGTTTGTTAGGATAGGACAATATTTGAAAATCTGGAATCTGAGGGTGCAAAAAAATCAAAATATTGAGAAAATCGCCTTTAAAGTTGTCCAAATGAAGTTCTTAGCAACGCATATTACTGATCAAAAATTAAGTTTTAATATATTTACAGTAGGACATTTACTAAATATCTTAGTGGAACATGATCTTTACTTAATATCCTAATGATTTTTGGTATGAAAATAAAAATCTATAATTTTGACCCATACAATGTATTTTTGGCTATTGCTACAAATATACCCCAGCGACTTAAGACTGCTTTTGTGCTCCAGGGTCACATATTGTGAAATGCAATTTATTCCTGTGATTCAAAGCTGAATTTCCAGCATCATTACTCCAGTCTTCAGTGTCACATGATCCTTCAGAAATCATTCTGATTTGCTGCTCAAGAAACATTTCTGATTATTGTCAGCATTGTAAACAGTTGTGCTGCTTCATATTTTTGTCGAAAACCGTGATCCATTTTATTTTTCAGGATTATTCGATGAATGGAAAGCTAAAAAGAACAGCATTTACTTGAAATAGAAATCTTTTTAACATTATAAATGTCTTTACTGACACTTTTGATCCATTTAATGCATCCTTAATTAATAAAAGTATTAATTTATTATTTTTTCATACTTGCCCCAAACCTCTGAATAGTAGTATATCAAGGTTTCCATAAAAATACGAAGCAGCACAGCTGTTTTCAACATTAATAACAATCAGCAAATCAGCATATTGATTAGAATGATTTCGGAAGGATCATGTGACACTGAAGACTGGAGTAATGATGCTGAAAATTCAGCTTTGCGTTACAGGAATAAATTATATTTTACAATATGTTTACATAGATAACAGTTATTTTAAATTGTAATAACATTTCATATTTTTTTCTACTATGTTTTTGAACAAATAAATAAATCCTTGGTCAGCAGACTTTCAAAAACATTAAAAAATCGTACCGTTCCCAAACTTTTGACCGGTATACTTTAAGGTAATGGTTGCAGGCTACCACTTTTTAGTGCTGAAAACATGTAATCAAAAAGTGGTTAATATTAATGTTAATAAATTAACAAATAAACGTTGTCAACCAATAGTCATAACTAGGATAATAAGCATCATTTTAGCACATTAACACTGATGTTTGGCTCTATTCTAGTATGAAACATCCACTTTCAAGATCCATTATATTCCAAATGGATAATATGAAATCCCAATCTATTTTATTTCTTGTCGATACCCTGTTTTGTATAAAATCATGATGCCAGTTAACAGTTTGTACGATGTTTAAAAATGACACTGGCATTAAAGTGTGATAAGGAATCAAATGTTACAGACAGGCTTGAATCATTTTCTCAATGCTTTTTAAAGAGACTCTCAGGACTACTGTACCCCTTCATTTATTTGGATCGGTAAAATCCAGCTTCCTTCTCTCCCAGCCCTGTGCTTCCTCAATGCAGGGACATGTAACCTACTGTTGCTATAACAATGTTATCTATTATTTATTCCCTAATTTTCTTAAAAATGCAGACACCTAATTAGTATGTGATCACGCTCAACATTACATGGAGATTCACGTCTACTTTACTACAATCCCACCCCCACCTTGACACTTCCAATTTGATTGGTTGCATATGTGTAGATGTTATTTTTTTGTCTTTTCCCCCAATGACAGTGAATATGAGGTATATGAGGTCTGTTTGTTAATGAGATGACACTGCAGAGGTTAGAGAAAGGTTTACAAAGCGCTGGGATGACTGAGGATCAGATCAGCACAAAAGTGTGTGAATGAGTAAAGCAACTGCTTGAGAGCTTCACTGAATGTGCTAAATAAGTGAAACTATTCAGTTCTGAGGGCTTGCTGGATATCGCGGTCAGATATCAGATAGCAAAAGAAAGCTGCACATCTACTGCAACATACTTAATACGCTTATATAATAATGTATATTACTGTGAAGTAATGACGAGTGTACTTTTGGTTTATCTGACATCTATAGGCCTTGCCTGTTGACAAACAT